TAAATTTAATAATTATAATAAAGAATAGAGAAGTAGATAAATGGAAACTGAAATAAATCCAGAATGTATTGGCATCATTATCAGTGTTAGTATTATTGAGAGCCTAATTGTATACATGAATAAAGAAATGCTGTTAAAGTGTAGGAATCTTCTTCTTTCAATGCATCTGCATTAGTAGAGTGCATGCTCAATTGATGAAGAAAAACTTTTATTTCTTTTAATTCCAAGTGTAGAAGTATTTTAACTGTAATGAAATATAATCAGAAAATTATTGATTTTTGCATTATTTAATAGTATCATTCCAAACTTTTATACATCCTTTATGCTCCATCCTTACTTCTGCAATAAGGTTTTGGATATATAGCAAACCGGCTACCATTGAAGTACATCCAATTAATTGAGTAATTAGATGTACATTTTGAATTTGCTGAATTTTATTATTTAATAGTAATCATCAGACCATGAAGTAAACTTATTGCAAATTATGTGAGTCAATCTATATTATTCATCTGTTCTGCCTTACATCCCTATTTAATCTTTCTAGCTGTGCAACTTGCAACTCTAACACATTCTATACATTCAGTTATACAATTTGGAGATATTCATTTGAAGTTACCAATAAAATCTTAATCCAAACTAGTGCATGATCCATAAGATAAGATCAAAATATTCACATATTTTGCAATCCATATACAAGGACAATCATTATAATCTATGCTAATGATAAAATAACAGCTTATTATTGGATTGATTTTTGTATCTATATACCTTTGAATCATTCAAGAAAATTTACAATTGTTACTGTATTATAAATATTTATGCTTTTTTAGAGATCTTATAAACAATATTATGTAATTTGATATTTCTATTTGTCATAAGTTGATTTGTGAATTTATCAATATTTTTCAATAAATTTATTTTTCGAAATACTTAGGTTAATCAATCATTAAGTTTGTTATGATTAAGCAATTGTCCTCAAAATTTGCTTATTGAGAGTTGTATTTTAAAAGTAAATTTTCATTTTGTTCCAGATTTTTCAATTGGGTTTAAAGCAGGAGAATATGGTGGCAAAAAAAGTAATGAAATGCTTGAGAAATTTAGAAAATGTTCGACTATGATGGATAATATGTTTCAATCCACTTCCAATTAATTATTCTATCTTCTCCTTAAACTATTTATTTTATGAAGAGGGATTAGCAAATTATAGTTAAGAATTTACCAATTATTTATTTAATGAACAGTCAACTGAAGCATAACTATTAATATTAAATAGATGATTATCTTGGATCTTTTATAATCATTTATTTTTAATATTGATAAAATTCTAATTCCTTCTTTTTAGTCTTCTTTATTATAGCCTTTAGAGCTCTTAACTCCATTAAGACTGAGATTTAATCAGACCCTTTTATGTCATTTTATCTAAAATTATTAAACACTAAATTAAGAGTTATGGGTATAATCATTATAAATAATGAATTCAAAGG